ATATATAAACTCAGTGAAGAGCACCAGACATTACTTTTAGGTCGGAGTTGAAACAAACGGATAGTATATATGCATATCTTGTTTGACTAATCTCGCCGAACGTAATTGTATGAACAGAAGTCGAGCAAAAATAGAAACAACTCCAGAGAAAAATGATTGTGTATTTGTTGTATGGCACCTCTTTGATTGGTCACCTACTCCTTCCTGAAAACGGTATCATTATGTACTCGATAAAAGGAAGTGTACAAATGAAAAACCTGTTTGGGGGCACAAAACTGGATGTGGTTAGGACACAGTGTTAACGATTTCAGTTTATACAACCATTAGCCACGCGCACTTTCGTGCACCGGTTTGCTTTGTCAAGTCAAGTCAGTACTAGCCTTACCATTTGGTATCCTTGAAATTGATAACGATGCGATTTTATGACGAATAAATCCACTAAAAGGTCCAAATATGATTTTCGAGCTAAATAGCGCGGCCGAATTCAAAGCCCGCCCCCGAGTTTTTGGTTGCCCATTTGTACGAAGCAGTAGGAGAAAGACAAGAAAGTTGAAAGCAGAGTAGAAGAGAAAATGGAGAATTTAAGTGGAATAATGTTGCAGAGAAATTGAGATATACGAACGCCACTCAACTATATTACTGTGTCTCTAACTACCGTTTACCCCGATCTCGAGGTCCCTAACCAGGGAATCTAACGCGACCTATATAGACCAGTCTCCTGGTTAGTGGTTTCATGCCCTCATGTCGGGTCATATTTTGACCACCCTTGGATTATTTTACAGCCACTACCTGTCACGCCAAAATTCGCAAGCCGTGGAAACCTATTTGGTGACATGCGTAACACGCCCCAACCAAAGTAATCTATGGAGGTCAACCACTTGTTTCGGTGGACGACCGCATTTAGATAAAACCTCAGCATTACTCGCCCGGTTTCCGAAACAGACCCGTGCAATGCGGCGTAGACAGCAGTGTTTAAGCACCAACAGTCTATCTTTATCCTGTTTTCTAAATGACCAAATTTCTGCGCCGTATAGCAGAACCGGCCGAAATGCTGCAGCATTCACTTCACGGACCGCCGGATGTCGCTACAGCGCCACATATGTATCAAGTTGGTAAACGCCCATCGAGCCTTCTGTATGCGAGTTGACACTTCGCCTGTGATGCGTCCATTGGGTGAGATGTAGCTGCCAAAATAACTTACTCTATTAATTCTCCACGTGGACGTATTAACGTTATCTTCTCACGTGTTGAAACTGATCAACGCGTTAGTTGAGGCTTTGACGTCAGAAACACTTTGAAATACGTCCCACTATTCGTTATAACAGCTGAAGGACAGCGATGGCTAAGTAGTTAGAGCCATCATTAAGGCGGCCCGTAGTTCGTGTGTTCGAATCCCGGCAATGTCGTTCACCTTCCCTATTCCCGAAATATACATCAATATTATTACACCTAATTCTAGGTATACATTATCCTAACCGTGCCGATTGTGTGAACATGAGGTCTGAGTGATAGGAAAACACAACTCTACTTTCATATTTTTTTCTAAAATTCGATTTTCTATTCTGTTTGAAGTAAAAAACTGTTATATTCTCATCATCAGCCCAACTTGTGCCTCACTGATCAAATTCCCCAGATTTTTGGGCTGATTTAGAAGATCGCCGATGATAGACCCCATCAGCTGCTCGATGTTCCAGTGGGTAGTACGCCTGCATTCTATCTGTGATGTACAGGGTACGATTCTAATTTGGGTCGAGGATTTACACTGTTGATGAAATTCACTCAGGTCGCAACAGCTCTGTGCACGACGAAATTCACTAAACTCATAGATAAGCAGGTATCTATCTGATCCAAATACACAACCTCTACGGAACGTATACAATCCTTCCCTCTGAGTGATTTGGTTCTCGGGGATTATATGTTGCTGCGTGTATCGTTCACTTAGCTACCATTTGGATCGCACCCTGTAGGTACTTGATCGTACGTTTAATCGCGTGGGCGAGGTAGCGCAAACACAGTGGCGCAGTAGTTTAGTCGCTGTTACCGGCGTGCTTTGGACGCTATCGTCCGAGGTTCGAGCCCCACCACCCAAATTTGGTGGTAGACAGCTTTGCTCTCGCTTGGTTCAATACCACAACTAACCCAGTGCGGCCTTATGTGGTTCGCCACTCCAAGTCCCGAGGCTCAGGTTACCGGTTTTCGTTACTGGACAGCAGGTCTTCCTGACTGGTGTTTACCCCGTCTACCGTTCATCACACCAAGGTGTGTAATCAAAAAAGCATACCTTCGTGCCAAACACAAACAGCAGTTTTGTGTAATTCAGATGATGTTAAAAGAGTCTCATTTTGTACACAATATCAGCCTGGAGGCAGGTGTAGCGACAGCGCAGCATAATCAAAACAAACAAACAAACAACCTCTCGCCGTGATTCAGAAAAGTAGTCAAAGGGTGAATTCAAGTCTCCCATGGAACGAAACCTGTGCCACTAAAATCACAGAATAGTTCGTTTTCTCCCCCAGAGAAGAATCGTGAGTGGACAAACATAAGAGCCAGTGCAATAGGTAAGCAATTATTGGTTTCAGAATGACCTTATTTGGAAATTGGAAATATGGAGGTAGGTACGCTTCCAACAGGTAGGAAAAATCCCAGGGCAGAAAGTAGTCTTGGGACAACGCACTCTGTTGCAGAGTAGGCCTGTCTGGAAATGGTAATGCTTCTTAAGGAACAAGAAAGTGGTATATCAATCGAATGACACTTCACTGTTTTTGTGTCTAGAACCGTAGCGTGTATATAGAGCAAAAAGGGAATACGAGCCGTAAGTGACAAGTGCTCACCTCTTTACTCGGTAAAAGTTTCCCTCGGGCTTCTGGATAGATCATTGGTGTTTATTTTGGGCAGGAACAAACAAAGTTCCGAATAGGAATCTGTGCTTTCTGCTTCCGAATCAAATAAACCTAAGTGTTTTTTATTTCAATATATATTCATTGAGAGTCTGGCAACGGTTAGCAATGTTTACTATGGCGAATTTCGCAGAATGCTTGTAATGACCACGACGAAACGAACACCGGTGGTAAGCAAAGGATCTCACCTTCATCTCAATTACTCGAGTATCGAACTCGGGATAGTCGGGTGACGGTGGACCAATGGACTGTCCTTCCAATCTTGATCCTGTCCAGCCACGAAGCAGCGGAGGAAGCTTGATACGCTTCTTCTTGATTGCTGATTTATTGCGCAAATCATTCAGACGTTTGAAGTAATCTTCATTGACTTCGGTCTAGAAAAAGTGAGCAATACGGCGAATTTTTGTAAGTGGATTTGTGAAGTAGTCACCATGTTGAATCATTAAAAACGGTCTATTGGCTCAAAAGAAATTGACCCAAAAACTTTAGTATGCCGTTCTAAGAGTTCAAACGGATCACTCGGGTGACAGAAGAAAACCGTTTATTGCAGCCCAGTGACTTCGATTCAATTAGTAAACACGGATATTTTTATGCCCAAATCAAACAAAAAATATAGATGCATCAACTTTCGAGAAAAAATGGCAGTGACGCCCGGAATCACCGGTAACTATGCACCCAAAATGCTCTCCCGCAAGCCGTATTTAGTTGTGCAAAGGTTAGAAGAGACTGTTGGAAGGAAGTCAGGTATCACACTGGCGATGTCTCCTGTATCAAAACACCAGCAGTATGTTGTCTGCATGCTCCGTAATCTATGCAACGATGCATCCTGATGTCAAGTGAAACGCGTGAAAAGCTAAAATCATAAATTCCTGGGTCCAATTGGAAAAGAACTGCGCACAAAAGTCAATAGAAGTGTTTCACAAGGTCGTTGCAACTTTACATACCTTTTTGATTGAACGTACGACCGTTTTGTCGAGAAGAGGCACATTTAGTCCTGGCCACTCCATGGATTCTTTTCCCATTCCTAGGCGTTGACCTCGGTGTAGATCAATCTTGGGACGTGTGACTCGCCGTTTGCCACGTGCTCGCTTCTTGGTGCTTCCACGTGGCCCAGTCACACCTTCCCAAAGCTGATCCGCCGGGAGGGACGTGAATATGGTGCTGTACCGATTTAACGAAAGCCATGGTGAAGGATGAACATGAAAGACAAGATTTTGCTCAGTGGTTTTTGGATGAAAAATATGACCACTGACAAACAATCGGCGAGTATTTGTAGCCCATGGAAAACTGTCGCGGACCACGTTTCCAAGGAAGGATCGACCCACAGAGCTGAAACTGCGCCAAAGTGCCATGCTGTTCCCACAATTTTATTCTAGAAAAGCATGGGTACGAGATTGCCGAAAGTGCAGCGCTAAAAAAGAAATAATAAAAAATCTGCCAGGTTACAATACTACAGACTTTACTCAGGATTGGCTTGGAGGCATTTAAAAAAGCATTTTGAAATGTTGCTTTCCTCTTGAGGTGTGACGATTCATGATCGCAAACATATAACAATGCATTTATGAAGGATGACTTTGATTACAAGCGTGCCCTGCTGGACGCTCGCAAAGCCATTCCTTCAGATTCAAACTACGACAAAGCGCGTAAATCCCTTAAACACCGGCTCATTAAGAGTCTGAAGCGGTGGGTAGAAAAATGGAGAGAGATGGAGAAGGCTACGGCTATCGGTAATAGTCGCAATCTTTTCCGATTAATTAGGAGTACAGGTCCAAGGAAAGCAGGCACAAGTGAGGTAATTAAGGAGTCCGACGGCACACTGATCCATATTCAGCAACGTCGTCTAGATCGATGGACAGAACATTTTAAGGCTCAATTCGGCTGGCCCTCGTCAGCACAAGACCTCCCTATACCCGATTCAGCTGTGCAAATACTGCCAGTTGACATCGATCCTCCATCTTAAATAGAGGTTACCCGAAAAATAAGCTATCTCAAAAGGTATAAGGCTTCCGGCACCGACGGGCTGTCCCCATCGGGTTTTAAGGACGGAGGCCTAGTCTTGGTTTTGGAGTTGACAAAACTCTTGGGTTCAGTGTGGGAAAAGGAACAGGTTCCAACTGAATGGTGTGAATCGGTGATCATATTGATTTACAAGAACGACAGGTGCTCTTGTGAAAACCACAGATGAATTAGTTTAATTAACATTGCCTCTAAACTTCTCTCCGGGATAATACTCCGTCGATTGTCTGCCGCTCGCGAAGAGTGCACACGTGAGAACCAGGCTGCTCGAGGTTGTATCGACCACATCTTTACTCTTCGTCAAATCCTAGAACACAGACACTCTTCGTAGACCCACCATTTCCATCTTCCTCGACTTGAAAGCGGCGTTCAACTCAGTCGATCACTCTAAACTCTGGCGCTGCCTTTCCCTGAAGGGCGTGTCCTCTATAATAATAGCCGAGTCCAAGCTTACGGCACTTTTTCACCCGAGTTCACCACGGAAAGTGGTGTTCGACAGGGTTGCCCTCTCTCCATTTCTATTTAACTTTGTTACAGATTTAATTTTCGAAACAGCTCTATCTTTGTGCGGGGATAGCGGTATCGATTTACTCTCAGGTGGCAAACTGTCTGGTCTGAAATATGCAGACGACATTGTGCTACTAAGTGAAGATTCAGGTAAGTTGCAAGCTTTTCTGGATAGTTTGAGTGCTAGGGTAGCGATAATCAGCATGCGCTTCGCGCCTTCAAAGTGTAAAATGCCGCTCCAAGATTCGGTTGGCCCAGTCCCTAGCCTCATCCTGACCGGGAAGTTGTAGAAAAAGTAGACAAGTTTTGCTACTTGGGCAGCTGCATCTCACCTGGCGGACNCCCCCCCCCCCCCCCCACGTCACAGAGCTGTCCACAGATGTGTGGTTTCGTGCGGAGAACACTTGCCAAGGGCAAACCCACCACATCTTCCAGCGCTGCTACTGATCGTCCGCGACCGCTTATTCGGCAGGCCGAGGCCCATCTTGTTCACGGTTAGTCGCGAGATGACGGCCGTTCCCCTATCCGCGACCTGGGGATGCGCTCGGTAGCATACAGCTCTACTCTCTCAAGTGAAGAAGGATAAATATTTAACCTATGCAACCACGGCGTGCACGAAACCCGGCTCACACTTCGTGGATGTCTTTCGAGAAATGAGTTTAGTCTACTTAATAACAACGGAAACTCGTAGCTTCGGCTCCATTGGAATCAGACTTATGCCCCTGTGGTGCAGACAGGCATTGCGACAGCCCTTCTGGCAGATGGGTGTAACAGTTGATTCTCCCATTTATGTAGGATACTTTCAGCTTCCCAGACCTTCGAGAAGA